TGTACTAGGGGAAGGTGAAAGAAGAAGCCCTAAATATTGCATTGGGGTCTACTGGCATAGAACAAGCAAACAGGAAAAATCAGGGGACTGAACATGGATTACTACAGATGGATCATGAGAAAGAGATGTCTGTAGAGTAGCAGTTCATTTTCCATCCATGTTTAACAGAGTTCTGACATTGCCACTGCTTTTCCAAGTCATAAGTTCCCAGTAAAAACTGCAATAATTCTTGCCAAAGGATGCTTCTTTGGGAAACTTTCCACTGGCAACAAGGGGAGATGAGGCTTGAGTTTGGAGTTAAGATGGAGCTTTTCAAGCAACATCCCTACTTTCACTTACAAGATTTTACTCAGATCTTCTACACTGTGGACCTCTTCCACTACAGATTATGCTCACACTACAGTCTACAAAGTGTAATACAGTATTTTTCAGGAAAATGTTTAGCATATCCTTCAAAGAATAAACAAACAAGTGCAATGCATTGTCTGATTTTTCATCTAGTAATGGCAAATGTCCTGGATTTGTAAACTTTAAATTCTGTGTCTCAAGAGACTGAAATGTGTAACTCTGAGAGCTTCAGAAATAAGCAAAACCTGGTTTCTGATGCATCTCTGCTTTGAGGATGACAGGCTTTGGAGACTATGAGGTATAAAAAAAGATCTAACTGAGGTTTTTCCTATGAGAGGGTCACTTAGGGCTGACACTGATGTCTAGCAAAATAAAGCATTTCCTCTTAGTCCAGCCAGGGTCTTATATCAATATTTTCCTACAAGTTAATTAAGTTCTAGACTTTGATGCTTTGTGAAATCTCTTTGCAACCAACCATTGGCTCATGAACAGAAACATCACATATGCACTTTCACATGCACTCACAGACAAGTGAGCATTCAATACAACTCCTAAAGCTTTGTGTCTCTAAGAACTAGTTTAGAAGCCCACAGGCTTAAAGCTTCTCAGTCTGTAGATGAAAATGTAGAAGTATACCAAATATTTGCTAAACTATCTCAAACTTTTTTTCAGAATAGACAATATAATTATTTTTCTATTCCTCTGACAATCTTCAAATCATATTTTTAAAAGCCACATAAGCATTGTTTATAGTTGTAGTTTCTCTCATTCATAAAAATCCCATATATTTGAATCATCTTTTCTATATCAGATAAACTTGTAATGAACTTTTGATTCTTCAGGGTCTGCACCAGTGGGCTGTTTTCAGTTTAAACAGCTGTGTTGTTAAAAATCTCCTTTTACATACCACTTGAGAGGACCCATTTGCTTCACAATTAGGAGCACAGCACCTACAAATGTTGAGCTAACCAGATTGTTAATTGGTATGTTTGCTTTACACTTTCTTGTATAAACAGAAAATGTTCCCCCTGAAACTTAATGGTTCAAAGGTTCACATGTTCTCTTCCTTGCATTTCTCAGGTTATTCACTTGTTACTTTTCCTCTCCCCAGTGTCCAGAGATTTTACTGATAAAGGTTTGCACACCCCATGTTATCTCTTCTACTCTGCTTCAATGAAAGCTTTTGCCTTTGTAGAAATAAGTGCTGAATAAGTTCCTCAGAGGCGGCCAGCAAAAACTGACCTAGCTTCAGGCCAAAATAATCAGTAACAAAGAAAGTAATTTTACATTTGTAATAAACTGAAAGAGAGTGAAAAAGTGTTATAAAATACAACACCTTACTATGATTATTTTTGGTACTTAAGATTAGTGGGTTTTTTTGTTAGTTCCTGTGTATGTGCCTGAGATTCTCTATGGCAAATTAGTTCTGCTTTTACCACTTCTAGTGTTTCTATCCCATTCACCTGAATTTTCAAATTCCCTTAAGATTGTCTTTAGATAAAATGAGAAGCATAACTGCTTGATAAATAGGAGCATTCCTCTGTAAACATACAATACAATGCAAGCACTTCTGTCATCTGATCTCTGAGTGGAATTTAATATATCTGCTCTGAATAGCTTATGACCTGTCCCATAATGTGAGGATTCATCTAACCAAATGTAGATGTAGCTGAGCCAGCCCCCCATTATAGTCAGCAGAGATGAATGGTAACTTTCAAGTTTCACTTCACGTCATACCAAAGTAGACATGTAGGATGCTTGCACCACAACCTGTGCTAGCGTATTTTTCTCCACTTAAAAAATTGGAGATATTGCTCATTTTTCATGTTTATCTTTTGTGAAGAACCTTAGGCTGATTAGCTCAGATGCCTATCACAACCAAACTCTTGAGTTAGGATTGCCATAACCAGAGACCATTTCTTTCTCTGAAACATGACTGAATTTTTACTCATGTTTCTCCTTGATTGTGCTTTTCTCAAGTGAAGGCTGTTGAAAAGTGGCCAGTAAATGGCCAAAACTCTGGACTTCCTTCTAGCTACTTGGGAAGGAGCCTGGACATGCTGTCAAAACTCATTAGCTTCTGTGGGATTGTGTGAGGGTCAAGAGGTCTTTAGAAAACCATTTCCTAAGACATATTCTATGACCTTGACATCTCAATCAAGGGTAAAGCCAGTTTATCAACAACACAAGACAGAATGTCCAGTTCAGGTGTTCAGAGTTTGGGGTCTTTTACTGACCACCTGCTTGACCTCGGTTTAAGCCACAGAGCATAAATGCTTCTCTGCTGACACTGTGTAGGATTGTTAATGAAGTCAATGAATATAAAGCATTATCAACAGCTACAGTCGTTCATGATCATGCATATTTCCAAAGATAATTTTTGGTTAAACACTTGTTTTCTGTCTCACACTCACATATTAAAGCCCTTGTCAAGCATCCCGATTAAAGTCTAATATGACTTGTGGGTTACCTTCTCCTTCGGCTGATAATGCTTAGCAGCAGCTGATGTATCCCCAAAAGATTCGTCAGCTTGGAAAGAATTTCTGGAAATATGCAGAACTTCTCAGCTAGCTACATGTTTGGAGGATGTCATTAACCAGCTCTGGCATATGAGCTAAACATTGCAGCATTCAATAATGTACTGTTCAGAATGAAAATGGGAACACTGAGGACAATGCTGCATGTCAGCACATATGATGAGAAGACAAATGTCACATTGCAAGGCAAAGATGATGAGCAGCAAGGCAGGTGAGGGCAGCTCTGATGACAGCATCCCCATACTCAGGACTGACATATTCAGCAAAGGTGGACTTAGCAGATGGCCACACATCACAGGAAGCAGTACTTCGCACAGGAACAAACTTCAGAGTGCTGCTAGTCTCACTCTTGAAACCTAGGCTCAGTTTACTGAAAAACTGAAGAGAAAAGGAGTCTCTGAAGTCCAACTACAGTGCTTATATCAAATGACACACTACTAATATGCTGTTTGGGAATAACAGGGTTTTGATAGGAGCCTATTTTTATTTTCTTACTTCCAAATTAATACCAGCGCATCTTCCTCCCTCCCTGCACCAAGATAATCATAGTATAAAATCAATCTTTGTAAGAAAAAATAAACTGCAAATTTACAGAACAACACATGATTAACAATTATTTATTAAAATTCATCATTAGAATTGCATTTGAATTATGCAGAGTTAAACAATTTGTGAAACAATCTGAACTATGGAAAATCCTGAAAAAAAAGGAATTCTAATACACAATTTCTAAAAATTCAGCTGGCTTATTGCGTTAAATACAAACAGTGATCACAAAGAAAAAAACTTAAAAGTATACGACTCAAGTCTAATGGTTTATCCACTTCATTACGAGTTATCAGCAACTTGGTTAAAAGCATCATTTTTTAAAACTCTGCTGCACATCTAGATACATTTTAAAATTTGAAAGAGTTTCTTAGTAATAACAATTTTTTGACATTTTGTTTCTGAGCATTTTAAGACTTGCAGTGTATAGCTTCTCTGTTCTCTATTAATGCTGTGAACTGCTTGAATTTAGGACTGCATAAATAAATATTTTTGACAATTAGTTCATTTTAATTGCTTGAAAGCAAAATGAACACCCATAAAAGGTAAATAAATGAACATTTGATTATGGAAATTTGCTATTGATTACTACAAATTGCTTCTAGAAGGGGCATGTTCTTTTACTACTCTTAATTACTATAATTAAGATTTTTGCATGTTAATTAGAATGGTTTTGGCATGGCACCTCTCTCTGTCTCTCAAAGTAGGTAGGTACACACATTCTTAATTTTTTTTGCTATATCCAGTATGTGTAAATAAGGAAAAAAACTTCCCAGAGTACATCCAAATTAAAAAGGGGCATAATTCTGTAAAGTCAAAAATTAACATAAAACCAATTTAGACTTTTTTTTTTTTATTTTAGAGCATTAAATAGCTCAGCCAGAAAAAGGAAAACTGAAACATTCATTATATATGTCAGTAAAATAATTAAAATATCTAAGAAGGAATAAGATTTCTAGAGTCATAGAGAGTATGACTAAGTAAAAAAATTATTAAAGATAAATATAACCTTGTTTTAACCTAAGGTGAGAGGAAAAAAATACCCTAACCTGGAAAAAATACACTAGATTGTTTGCCAATGAATAGTTCTTATACCAGCTAATACTGTTCTCATTCTTTAATTGCCCCAACAGTTTTATCTTTTGTAGCCCCTCCAACTTTTAAATTTTAAGTATTTCTCAGGAAGTCTGTCGGAAGCAGGATGTAGAATGCCATCACTCAGAGTTTCACCCTCTGAAAGTTGCAGTGAACTGCAGGTTAGTGAAAGTCTGCACATCTTAAATTAGAGTGAGAAACTCACAAGTCCTGGGACTGAATATGGCCTGCAACTTTATTGCATGTCACTTGGGGTCATAACATTTTTTCCTTCTACATTACTTTTGGCTAACACTCAGCTAAGCTTTAATTTATGACCTACCAGTGTGACTGAAAGAGCTATTTGGCCCTCAGTAAGGGAGAAGATATTCCAAGTTTAATTGAGTACATAAAATTCTGCTTTGTGCCCTCTTGAGTCTTCCATGGAAACTGTGGCTCACTGAAGTTGACAGTAACTGTTAGGAGTGTACTTACTGCATTGAAGTTGGGGAAGAGATTGACTGCTGCAGCAGTGTCCAGAGGAAATGGAAGAAATGGTTTAATATCCAGCGACGGCTGCAAAGGTGGAGCAGGAGGACGCACTAGGGCTGGAAGCGCAGGGCTCTGGCATGTACCACCTATGTATGGAAAGAGACAGGAGGCATTCAGCAAGTACTATGATAAGGGGGAAAAAACCCCCAACAAACTCCAAAACAAACAAACAAACACAACAAAGAAACAATAAAAAGCCACTACTGAATTAAACAAATACATTTTTATCTGTCCACAAACTACTGGGTTATTGAAAAAGTACACAGCTCACTCAGTGACTGTTGGTTATAATTCTTTGACAGTAATTGCTTCAGGTATCAATCTTTCATTATTTACAAATTAGCTAATAAACCACTTATCTCCTTGGATTATCTGGAACAATAGTTCAGCAAATGTCTGACTTCCCTTTAAAACTTAGCTAGTCTCATTCTGCTATAATTTTAGTATCTCATCCCAGCCATCTTACTCAACACACCTAAGGCAAATGGCTCCAGAAGAAAAAAAACAACAAGTAGCTGTTCTGCTCAGCAAAAGTCATCACACTTGCAGACGTTTGAGTTTTTAATTAAATACTCACTCATGGAGCTTACAGCTTCAGAGTCAACCTAAACCTCCCAAACACGACATACCTTGCTGCCTCGACAGATGACCAGTATAAATCTAAATCAAGAAAAATTTCAGCAGCCACCAAAATCTGGTTTATGGAAAGGTACCAATGAACACTTTCTGCTCTTGCAAGGGGTGGAGCTGATTCAGAGTAGATGCAGCAGAAAACGCCTCCCGGCTAATGCTCCCAGCTCTGTGGGAACATAATGCAAATGAAGAAATCCTCTTGCATACCAATAAGTTGCTACCTGTTTGCAGTGGACCCCATTTTATTTATTTGTTTGCCCCTTGCCACAGCCAGCTAAAAGCTGGAAAGATCCAAACCCATTCTCTGCTTCCAATGTCTCCCATGTTTTGGTTACACTCCAAAACATCAATTCCCTGTTAATTAAAGACTATTTGGATCCTAGGAAACTGTTAAAATATGCCAGTGTTCTTCTAATCTGAGAGGCAGGCAACAGACTGTAAAAATCTGCTGGTAAGTGTCCAAGAAACATTAAAAAAACCCCGTAAGGGGAGTTTTACCCCACTCATTGAACAGATACACAGGCTGACAGACCAACACAAGAAGAGATCCAAAATCTGTTTCTTTTTCCCTCTCGTACATACAGACACTTCATTAGACGACGCATACAGTCTTGAAGAGCCCAAATATAAAGTAGTCAGAATGATATACGGAATCTCTCTATACTTGGCCTGCAAATCTGCTAACAAGGTTTGCACTTCAGTGCGTCTAATTGAGGGCTGACAGCACAGGATTTAATTAACCAGTTGTAGCAGATCATCTATAGTTCTGCTTCTAGGTATAAAATCACCTAGAGACAAATTTTCAGAAACAGTATTTTTTGCCAACTTTTAGCTCCTCTGTGAAACATTTCAGCAAGAATCATTGAAAGGAAAACATTATCCACTAGTAAACCAAGAGTATTGGATTAGGGTTCACTCCAGTCTCACACTAGTTTTTGCCCTAGAGTAACTGCCATTTTTGGAGTAATTTCTAAATTTACCTCAGCGTAAGAATGTACCAAATCAGTCTTCAAATGCAGCAGCTAGGATATGGGCCACAGAAAAGCAGAGGACACACAGCTCTGCTTTCCATGGCTCACCAGTATAGAACCATCAAGTATTTCAAGATTGCCATTGGTTTGGCAATTGCTACATTCCCATGGAATTATTACAAAAACAGTGTGAAAATAAATATATCGGGTCAGAATGATGATAACATAGTGTAGAACAGGTGAATCTTACCCCCTCTGAATAGGAAAGGTCCATAAAGATATTTTTTTAGGTGCTGGAAATACTTATATTTTCTCACGTAAAGCTTTTACAGACCACGAAGGAAAGAAGTCACTCCTAAGAATAAAAACCTTAGTAAAGTCTCTAGATTGCACCTGAGATTGTACAGAATCACACAGAAATGACAAAGTGACTATTTGCCTGACAATAGCAAAGAACTGACAACAGCAAAGAAATTGAAGCTGGTTAAACATCCTCCAACTCACGGATACAAATGCAAACTGGATTGAGAAATATTGGTTATTTGTGGGGAGTCAACTCTTCCGGTGGATTATCTCAGTGCTATGGAGGAGAGCCTCACAGGTTTGGATTACCTAGAGCAACAGCATTGATATCCCATACTCTCCTACTATGACATACATCCCACAAAAGATGATAGGACTTTCTGTGATCCTTCCCTGTGGCACGACTAGTCACTCACCCACCTACCACTGCTAGCCAGTGCTGCATAAAGTCATCTGGGGACAAGAACATGCTTTAAAAGGAAAAATTCAGCCAGCTCTGCAGATCCTTGGCTGGGATTCAGAGCCTCTGGAACAGAGTTTAAAATCTACCACAGTCCTGGCTACAGTGGCATAGAGAATGAGTACGTTCAGGAGCACAACTGCTCTGTTTTTGCAATAGTGTCAGATATGTCCCTTAATGATGGAGCATGTGATAGGTATAATGAAATTTGACCTTTCACTTGAAAGAAATTCTCTAATGTTTATGGCTGCAAAGATTAGCTTCTCTTTCCGTTTAACATGTCCAGAGTTGTACTCTAGAATCAGCAACAGATAAACCTGAAGCAATGGCAACCATTTTTGTGACTGAGCTTAACTGAAAAACCTTTGGACAACATCTGAGAATGCCAAGATTAACTATTTACCATCTAATCAATCAGCAGAGGGATGGAGAGGGGTAGAAGCCCACCAGGAAGAGGTCTTGAAGAGCACGTTTAGAGGAATTGTTATTGTAAAGAAGGCAACATCAAGGGTAGAAATGATGACAGAAGGAAACTGTGAGAACCAAGAAAGCCAAACTGAAAGGAAAGTAAGAGAAGTGTACTAAAACTCATAAAGTAGAGTTTACTTCGTAAATCAGTAGTGCTATGTGTGACAACAGCACGCTTAGAAAATTACTATAGGAAGACATAGGTGCTTTTTAGTTATCCAGTGTTACTGAACGCTGGATCAAAGTGAGGAACCATGACTGTTTTGATGTTCTGTATGATAACTTTGTACAAGAAAGACCTCCATAGCTTTCCCTGTGCAGATTCTACACAGTTCTGATCAACACACAATGAAGGCTCGATGTCAGCCTTCCTACAGACTTCCTACCAGCAAGGTCTGGAGTTCCATTTCAATCAGCAAAACTAGGATAACATCCCACACCTCTGGCAGGCTTTGTCCACAGCCTGCACTTCATGCTCTGTATTATTACCTGAAGTTCACATAGGCGTCCTAGCCAAAAACTACGTGCATGCATGGCCTCACTTAGGAGACATAACAGTCCCCCCAAAATGCAGGGCAGGATAGGTCTAAAGTTACATTTTATGAGTAGCATGCTACAGTTTATTAAAATAGGAGAATACTAACATATTTACTAATACCAGTGTTATAAGTTAGTGATGTTATAATCTAATGTCTTTCTAAAGAGGAAGAGTCCTTCCAGCCCATTCAGATACTAAATAGGAGATTAATGTTCCAGACATTCGGGAAATTCATGTCAATGTTTTAACCTTAATTTTCTTTGTAGAAAGCACAGGAATAATACAATTTAGAAGCTTAATTACCTCAGAATTTTAACCAAGACTGAAGTAATAATTTGTTTCTTCAATTTCCAGGCAATTTAAAACACAGGCAAGATAATCTCTTGGCCAGAGGCACTGGCAATACATCCAAGGTAAGTGTGAGCAAACAAGTTTGAAGAAAAGCTTACCACAAACCTTTGCCCCTTCCAATAACTCATTGAGAGAGTTTTTGAGAAGTCCCCAAGTGTCAATCAAACTGTGCATTTTTACACATGGATGCACTTTTGCATCTCCAGTTGGGACTAGACACTTTGCCCTACCACTAGGTAATCTATTTTGCAATACAGTGTTAGGCTCTGAGCACAGACAGCCTACATGGTACAAAGCTGTGCATGCAATGTGAGGTACATGCTCTTTGTGGCCTACTCAAGTGGTTCTCCTTCAGAAACCACTGGTGATATGAACTTCATCACTACAAAGACCTTCTTGCCTGCACCCAGAACCGAGGGAAGGCAACAGAAACATTCAGATGAAGACATGATTCCTGCAGGTTCAGCCTCAAACTGTCTGTTCCGTAAGGAATTGTAACATTTTATTTGTTTTGAGTTGGAATGTAAATAAATACTGGTTCCCTCCTAGTTTTTACCTTAGAGAACATGTTTATCTATGGAATTTAAAATAGATAAGTCATTCCAAAAAAAGGAAACTAGATTTCTTTGAAAATGCTAAAGATTTTACCTTATCTTAAAGACATTTTTGTCACAAGTCATTACAAAAGAATAACACCTTCTAGGGGAAATTTTTGCTTTCAATGAAATAGCATTTTATGATGAGAAAGTCTCTAATGCAAATGGTTGTGCCCAGTTCACCTGAAATACTCCTCAGATCAGTGCTAGATAAAGAGTATAAACAGCTGTAAGTACTGCCCCTAAAATCTGGATTAAGAGAAGCACAAAGACTGATATGCACAAAGGAAACAAAAGAAAATAGACTTAGAGAAAACAGACAATGTAGAGCAGGGGGGGTTTATGCAAAGGATAATAACAAGTTTTCTTAAAGTTTCTGGAGGAGGTCAAGATTCCTGTCCGTCATGTCCCCTAACAAACAGCTCAACAATTTGGCAACTGCATATTGTTATATTTTGTGACTTGGTTTTCCTCATGCTTTCTCATCCCCAATCCTTTAAACTCAACTGCGGGTTTAGTCTCCAGAAAAAGAATCACCAGATCTATTATCAAATAGCCTCTCCTAAGGAAATATCCAGCCCAAATTTTGCAGATACAAATAACGTAGATAATTTTTTGCAATACATTTGGAACTTGGAGGTATGTAAACTAAGCAGGAACTCTAAACTAATACCCCATTAATCTAAATCTTTTGCAGTTCTTCCATCATCATTACCACCATAAACACCAAGTGAAAAAGCAAATCTCTGCAGAATTCCATACTTTGCAATTCTTTCCTTCTGGCCATGTGTACAGACATTTCCAATACATCAGAAACACCCTAAACTAATGTTCAATTTCCTTTCCACCTGGGAGTCTGAGTTTGTTTTCAGTATAATAGTTTAGTTTATCCAAGATATGAATATTCCCATTTTCTCCACCCCATCTCTTGCGTCTCCCAATATTTCCATGACAACTTATTTGAGGTCAAAACAATACGCACATTCTGCCTTGGCAGAAGCTCAGAGAACCTTTCAGCTGGTATGACTCAGTAGAGTAGCTGGGAGTGCACCACTGGTTTCCAACTTAAAAGTTAACTTCTAGATAATTTAAACAGGTAACTTCAAAAAGTATCATTAATATTTTACATAGGAACCTAGTACCTGACAGTTCACACTCAGTAAACATTACAATATATCCTATAGCCCGAGCCAAAAGAGGATTATTTTTCCTAGAAAATTTTCAAGAAAAATAATTCAGGCTATTTTAAAGTATAAAAGTGAAGGGATATGTGTGGAGCTCATGTTCTATTTTATAAATGCTAAGAAACTTACATTTGGACAACTCAATATCAGCTAGAACTGATCAATCGTTAATTTAGTTTGCCAATGGGCCAAGGAAAAGCTATGCTTGAAAGGATTTTATTCAAGAAGACAATAAAGACATAAGCAATTAAGAACAGTAGGCTAGCCATGATGAATAATAAACTTTCTTTATCTAAAATATTAGATACCACATTTAGGCCTTCAGAAAATCTGTTAAAATGGGAAATATAAAGACATCCAAAGACAAAAGAATAACCTTCTCTGGGATGTAACAGAGAAAATATAACATGAATTGTAGATCTGGCTTTTAAGAATTAGCTTAACGTAATCTGTCAGGACCTATAGTCACAAAGGTACTCCCTTTTATCACTGTGTGATGGTCTTCATTTTTGCAACAGATGCTTTTCTTAAAAACTACTAGATTGTCTCTTTAAAGTTAAGTTCAGTTCCATAATAAGTAGTACCAGTGATCTAATCTGACACGGCAAAACAGGCTTCACCTAATCACTAATAGACTTACTAGCAGTTATTATACTACTCAAGTGACTAAAATATGAACTCAGCATACAGAAAGTTAGTTAACATGCAACCGGTACTCTTTAAGTGAATACACTTTTAATTTTAATTATTTAATTTTAATAAGCTATATATTATTTCGTATGGACTGAAAGATTACATGTGAACAAATAACGTGATGCCAGTCGAGAATTTATTGCTCATAAAATATATTTTCTCACTGTTTATAGTATTAGAACTCAGTTTCTTGTAAGTTTTTGTTGCTGCTGTTTTGTGTATGTGTGGCTGGGGTTTTTTTGTTTGTTTGTTTGCTTGCTTGCTCGTTTTAGAAGGGGAAAATCTTAAAACAAAATGGGTTTAACTCCTGCATTGTTCACACAGTTTTTTGGAGAGTGCTTTCATTATATAATAATCTCACAAATATTTTAAAAATGAGGATATCCACATTTAAACACTATACTGTTTCACATAATCTCTCTTAGTTTCAGAAAAGAAAAAAAAAAAATCCACCTGTATTAAATACTTGACACCCACTAGAAAAGAATCCTCAAAATGCTGCTCTACTCCAGCCATTGACTCTCCTGAGACAACTTGAGGATCAAGTGCCCTGTATGGCAATACAAGCCTTCCTTTCATAGGTTTTGCTGCTAGTAATGTTAACAGTGGCTAGTCACTTTGATGACTATAACTGCAACACTGTCTCAGCTGTGGAGATCTGCAAGTAATTGATTTTTCAGTTCACTGGTCAAAACAAAAAATAAAGACAATTAGGGGCAAAAAAAAAAAAAATGTCAGCTGAAACATTTCTTTCACCTCAAATGAAATTCTATAGTTTGTACTTGGATACTTAACAGTTCTTGTTACTTAAATATTGGCAAATTTCAAACATCCAAACCCAAAAAATTCAAAACTACTCATTGCAAAAAATATTTTAAAATATTTTCTAATCTCTTTCTCTCTTTCCTCCCTTCTTTTTTTTAAAAAAAACAACTCGTAAAACTCTTCCAGTTTGGCACAATTTAGTACCCACTATTTATTTATAGACAGCATTTTTCAGCACATACACTATTCACCTGGAAAGTTTGAATCAGCTCTGGTCACTTGCTGCTATTCAAAGTATTATTTTGTCTAGAGACAATATTTATTCTGTGATTCCTGCAAAGTGAGCTAGTTTAGAAAAAGAACTCTTTATTATTATTACTAGTTTTAGAAGCCTGTGGTTACACATCATACTAATTTTTTTAGAGTTTTTTCTTTCATACTTACGAGAATATTGAAAAACATAAAATCACATATGATTTTATATCATAAATACTCTGGCATCCATTACCTCTTTTCATTATAGTCCTTACTTTTGGTAAAGGAGCTCAGGCTCCTGCTCCCTTTTTGCTACCTTCTGCCGTCCTGTTCCTCTGCCATTATCCATCTGCACTAACAGACAGGTGGGCCCAGGTTACAGACAATAAAGTCCAGTCTGTCTGAACAGAATCAAAGTGCACAACATTGTCCACCTCAGGCCACAAGGACATGCATGTCAGAGCCTCCATGAACCCCACGGAGTATCACTTCTTTCCTCCCATACCTAGAATATGCTATGGATCATAGGAAACATTTTACCAATTAGTTTTTTTTAATTAAATTAAATAAAATCTCCTGGAAAATTATTATCTGAACTTCAGTATTTAACACTATTTAGAAATGAATCCACTACCTCACTATGAGCAATATCTTCTATGGATTATAAATTGCACAAGGGCAGCAACTAAGCTTTTGATTTTAGCAACATGACCTACCTAACTGAGCTCTTCAGAATCCTTTGAGGTTTTATTCCACTTGGTCAGACAAATTTGGATGCGTTTTTTTCCCCTGTTGGAAGCTGTTAGATCACTGAAAATTAAATGATCCAAAACGAATGTTCCACTTTCTGTAAAGTTCTGGCCATTTCTAGTAGAAGGAAACAACAAGAAGTTGCCCAACTTGGCTACCTTACTGCCCATACCAGCTGCCCATACCAAGTACCAGCCATGTCAGCTACCAAAGAATCATGAAGTCCAAGACTGCTGGCATCATGGCTTTGGAGGTGACAAACAAGTAAAATGCCAAAGAACTGCAGCTCTCCTCCATCTTGAGAATGGAGGAGCTTTTAATTTCTATTTGCCTTACAAAACAAAATCAAATGTTAAATATCCAGCAGCTTTCTTTTTCTCCATGCAATTCTGCTATTAATTCTCAGGCCATTTCTACATGGCAAGAGGTTATCCTTGCTTTTCAGCTAGGAACCTAGAACAGAGAGTGTAAGTCACCTGCTCATAGCTCACACAGGAATCTGTGGCAGGTCAAGAAATTGGGCCCTAGGTCTCTAAATTTAGTGCACTGAGCACTGCAACATCCTTCCCTGGTTTTAGTCTAGTAGTGAACTGAACACACATCCACTCAAACTTGAGTGATCTCAGGATAGCAAAGACAATGTTAAAACCTTTTCTTCCTTTCCAGTCATAAATGCTAGAGGGAAGATGAGTGGACCAATGAGTTCACATCTGCACTAATAATTCTTTTTACTTTTGGCAAATTATGTATTCCCAGCTCTATTCTGCAGTTCCTTCCCCTGCTGCTCATGTTTTATACAACCTTCTGCTTTCTTTAGTAAGAAAGTGAATCCAAGGAAAGGAAAGGTTTGCCTTGCCTGAAGTGAGCTAGAAATATGTATCTATGCATTCCTACCACCTAGCAGTAATGCCAGGCCAGAAAAGTTTGTCTGGATATCAAAGGAACAACAGCTTTCCCTTTTCTTCTCATGACCATAAGGTCTTCATCTTGGCTAGCTGTTCCCACATAAAGCAGCTACTCACAGTATGATTTCCAGCCTGCAGGGGAAAGTTTTACATTCAGGCTCAAGCTAAGGTGCATCTTGAGGTGTGTGGGAAGCATGAGTGTTTTCAGAGGAGCACTGCAATCCAATGAAGTTAGAGGAAGGGCACAGAGTTAGCAAATGTGCATTTCCTGAAAATTGCACGTACACTGTTTCTCTACAGTTTTTAGCAGATAAAGAAATTTTCTCACAGTGCTAGACTGACTGCACCATTACTGACTAGCGCACCGTGGATGTCTCCCAACCAGCGGGTCAGAATATGTGGTTAGTAGCCTCCACTGAAGAGCTATTAGACCTTACCAATTCTAACCTGCTACAGGCCCAGCAAAAATGTTGTTACAAACTAAATGGATCTAAGTATTGAACAACAGGGAGGAAGCTGCTGAAGGGCACTAAGAATTATCTCAGTGTGCTCCCTTGGGGGCCACAGTCTCCCAATAGATCCTAACCACAAAGACCCAAAAAACCCTCTCACCATAAATAAATAAATAAATAAAATAAAGGAAAAATAGAAGCATCAGCAAAGTATTATAAAAATCACATTAGTTTTAAAGCTTCACAATTTTTGACATTTAAAAAAATCTTTGACCTGGCATATTCTGCTCTTGGATTTTTTTGATGTTTTTATAAAGGTCATGTTTATGGTATAGTGAGCACAGATTTCCAAGGACTATTAATCAGAAGATCACTATATTGCAAACAGATTTTCAAAGAATGTTTCATTTTTATGATAAATATATTAGCAACTTTAAAAGTGCCATTTTTCAAAAGCATACTTGGGAAAGAAATAACTATTAACCTCTGATGTCTTTACTTTAAATGAAACAAGCATACAACTGAGACAAATATATAACTAATGTCACGAAATGGACACACTCCACTAGTAAACTCTATGAGGATAGTGCTGTGCAGCAACGCCTCTTCCATTTAGCAGTGGGAAAGCTCAACTTTACAAAATTTTATTAATAATTCACTGGAAAGAGCTTTTACACATTTTTAACTGCATAGTGCAAAAGGAAGTGGAGCAGAGCACCACTTCGCTCTTCTGCTAGCTGTCAAACCTCTGCTGTTTCATTGAATAAAAGGTAAACAGACTTACGAAGTGAGTGAGTTAGAAGAAAGATGGCAGAATCTCAGTCAAAGGAGCAAAGTCTGCCCACATCAAAGCTAGGTGCACGGAGAGAGAGGTGCACAGAGAAAAGAGTGATGGAAAGTCTATGGTTATGTAGATCCACTTGGCTGTTGGTCTTACAGGTACCACACAACAACAGACATGAAAATACCTCCATAAGTTTATGCCAGTGTTACACGGACTGGGGCAAGATTCCTCCCTTGAATTAACCTCACAGGTTTTGCATACATAGGACTGCCTATGTATATGTACATAACAAAACAGCAAACTTATTGAAATAAAGCCATATTTTTTATTTTTCTTTCCCATGCATAAAATACACAAATGCTTACACAATACGTCAGGAACTATTACAGTCTCAGAATTTTGATTCACAAAAAAAACCCCCACACATATATGTTTAAGAGTATTAGGTTTATGGTCTTTCATAGAATAAGTGGTATCATTTCTTTCTGAATACTGAAAATGTAGAGTAGAAGCAAAAGCACAGGATTTACAAATGGACAGTGAGCACAGACTCAGTAGACAGAAGTGAGTTTTAAAGGACATCGTGCACTACTCAGTTCTTGGTGGCTTGAAAGATACTTGTTAAGATAAATTATACATAATATCATTTTTCCATATGCATTCCTAAATTAAAATACTGCAAGTTATTTGACTCACGAACTTTTCCCACCAATGACGTGCCTGATTTCCCACTCTGAATGAACTATCTGAAGTTTGTAAAGAAAAGTAAACCAAACACGAGTATCTTTCATCCTATTCTTTCTCAGGATGTAAAACCAGGAAAAAAAAAAAAAAATTAGATCACATGGCCTGATTGTTTCTAAACCCCAACCCATTACTTTTCATAAAACTTCTACTACACTTTAATGAAACTAAACCAGTTCAGCCCTCAGGAGATAGAGCTGTTTGTGCAAAAAGCCAAGAGCCTGAGGCTTTCTCTGTGACCAAGACTTTCTGGAAAAAGAAGTTGATGAAAAATTGAAGTTATCCTAACAGACAATCCACGCTTTGCATTGAGAAGCAAGGCAAAGAAAAAAACAGACAGTTCTTGGCATTCTGCTGTCTCCACAGAGACAAGTGAAGAGAAGGATAAAATGTTTAGTTAACTGTTAAGTTTGAGCTTTACTGGAAAAGAATTTTATGCCAACTCAAAGCACACATCCACTCTGTCCAGCAATGACTAATCTCTGGATTTTCATCATCAGGCAATTAAAAAAGTTAAAAAAAAAAAAAAAAAAAGGCTAATTACAAATCTTCCTACCACCCTTAAAGTACCTCCTGAATCAACCGATCAATACATCAAGCCATTCTTCCTTTGTCTGACAAAGACTGGAGATACAAATGATGAGCAGGCTCTGGACTGCAGTACAGAGTTTTGAGTTCAGCAAGGGGTTAACCATGAAAGAAGAGCAAATGCTGATAAAGCATAAAACCTTCAAGACAATGTTAAGGGGAAGGAGTTTGCATTAAATTTGGGAGGAGAAAAGTGGAGAGGAAAGAAAGGGAACCTAAGGAGAAGTAAGAAGGCAGCAAGCAGAACAAGAATGGAAATAAAAGAATGGGATGTTGTAAATCAACGGGAGAAATTTGAACCTTGGCCAGAATCAATTAAACAGATGTTTTATGGAAATTCTATATCCAGACACAGATTTAGTTTTAATAAAATTTAAATAGGACATGTTATAACATACTTTAAAAGTAATAGTTGCATAACTGTATTGTATCTAGAAAACCTAACATTTTTTGCCAAAAAACTATTTATTGCAATCACACATTGCTCTTGTGCAATTCAAGATTTTTTTTTCTTTTTAAACAGAGATAAGTATGTGCCATATGATATGCTGGAAAACAGTTTCTAGGTTTTAATTCACAGTATATCCTGATGAATAATTTTTTTTTATTTCCTTCCAAAACCTGGGATTGTGCTGCCATGGACACAGCTACAATCAAGAAAATAGCTACTCCATAAACCAGTCAAAAAGCATAAGCAAAAAAACCCCACACCATGATGCAATACAACAGATAAAGATATATAAGGAAGTTTTATTAGGACTAGTGAAGAAAATATTGGTTTTCCCATCTGTGACAAAGATCACATTAACATATTTTATAGTGTTTTCTAAGAGCATTGGCCCATATACACTAATGCTGTGGAGTCAGAGTTGAATCCAGCTCCCTGCAAATCAGACTGTTAAAGATGCCAGTGGAAGGTGGTCCTGCAAATGTTTCATGGCACAATGAGCTCCTCCTGGTGTCTATGGTGGCATACTCAAGTATCAGAGCTCAGATCCATCAAAATCTGCTTCTTGGTGAGACTCCATGAAAATTCTCATTTGTGTAACGCTTTGAGCTGACAAAAAAAAAAAAAAAAAAAAAAAAAGAAAGTACAAATTCCAAAGGCATGAGGGATTGAAATAAC